CTGATAGATTGACATCTTTTGACACTGGCGACTTTCGGAGACATGCTTTGAAAATTTGAAGACGTGAAGACTCGTCAGGGAGCGGGATGTATATTAGTTGGTCCAGACGTCCCGGCCTGAGAAGTGCCGGGTCTATAATGTCTGGCCTGTTTGTCGCCCCAATTATAAACACGGTCTTCTTTGCAGTCATGCCATCCATTTCTGTAAGAAGTTGGTTCAAGACTCTATCTGCTGCACCACCAGCATCTCCAACAGAACTACCACGCTGCGAAAATCAAACCGATTTATGATTTTTTAAACGTATGTTTAACCTCAACAAAATCATACTTCCAACCTAAAAAGAGTGATATTTGATTAAAAAAACATAGAGTTTCCAAATATATTAAGTACCTGAGTTGCGATAGAATCGAGTTCATCGAAAAATAGTACACAAGGAGCCGACTGACGAGCCTTGTCAAATATCTCTCTCACATTTGCCTCACTTTCACCGAACCACATTGTCAGCAACTCAGGTCCTTTCACACTTATAAAGTTGGCCTGACATTCATTGGCAATTGCCTTAGCCAGCAGCGTCTTACCACAGCCCGGGGGCCCATAAAAGAGGACACCTTTAGATGGTGACATGCCAAATTTTTCAAACTTCTCAGGATGCTCCACTGGATATTGGACAGTCTGCCATAAAACAGCCACATATAGACGAGTTCAGAGGGGAAAAAGACGAGCAATCTGAGAAATTAGACACCGAAAATGCAAACTTCAAGAAGATAAACAGCGCACAGACCTCCTGCAGCTCTCTTTTAACATTTTCCAACCCACCGATATCATCCCACGAAACATTCGGAACCTCCACGACCTAATGGCGAGAATAGTCAGTTCAAAAGGAAGGCAACATTATATGTAATTTTTATTAGAACATCTGCTCAATCTCTAGCAAGATATACGAGCAGATACTACTGAATAAAAGACAGACTAAATATATGTTTTAGTCCCTAATGTTTGGATATTTTTTTCAATTAATCCTTATTGTTTGAAAGGTTCAATTTAGACCCTTCAAGTTTTAACATTTTTTAGTATCTCACTGTTGTTGGTGAAGGTTAAAATTGTCTGATGATAAACTTGGCATAAAATTTAGAGAAAAAAGGTCATCAAGAGAAGAAAACTCAAAAATTATACTAATTTCTTGAAGTTTTGGATGAAGAATTAGAAACTTTCCTCTCTAGATGACCTTTTTTCTCCTCTAATTTTCGATCATGCTAGGTAAGTTTGACCTCAGTTAATTTTAACATTTACCAACAATGAGATATTCAGTTGAAAAATATTAAAGATGAGGGACTAACTTGGAACTTTTTAAACAATATAGACTACATTGAAAAAATAGCAAAACATTAGAGACTAGAATGGAACTGGAGACTCACAGTTTCCCGCAACGCCGAAGGATTTGAAGACCCTAAAGCAGTTTGGAAATGTTCATTAGTTACAGCCATGGAATTCAAAACCTCAGCATCAATTGTTTCATCTTCCAAGTCGATGACATCCATTTTCTCGCGAATACACTGGAGTGCTGCTTCAGTACAAAGAGCGGCGAGATCAGCACCAACATAACCATGAGTATCCCGTGCAACTCTCTCAAGATCCACCTGGAACAAACAGCTTTTTACGAAAATGTTGAATATAGAAAATATGTTTACTGAAAAATAATGTGAGATGGCATTATTAGCACGAGTCTCACATCCTCGGCAAGTTTCATGTTCTTTGTATGGATCCTAAGGACTTCCAATCGTCCTACTTCATCAGGAACACCAATATCAATCTCTCGATCAAATCTTCCAAATCTCCTCAAAGCAGGGTCAATGCTGTTGGGTCTGTTCGTTGCTCCAATAACAATAACATGTACTCGAGTTTTGAGGCCATCCATCAAGGTAAGAAGTTGGGATACGATACGCCTTTCCACTTCTCCATGTGTTTTCTCCCTCTTTGGAGCAATGGAATCAAGTTCATCGATAAATATAATTGAAGGGGCATTCTTTTCAGCTTCCTCAAACGCCTTCCTTAGATTGCTTTCACTCTCACCAGCTAACTTCGACATTATTTCTGGACCATTAATCAGAAAGAAAAATGCACCCGTCTCATTAGCAACAGCTCTGGCTATAAGAGTTTTTCCAGATCCAGGAGGCCCATACAGCAATATCCCTTTCGGAGGCTTTACGCCAATCGATTTGAAAAGTTGTGGATGTCTAAGTGGTAATTCCACTAATTCACGGATCTGAGCCATTTGCTTCCTAACTCCTCCAACATCATCATATCCGACTTCATTTAATCTCTCCTCATCCTCACGTTTGATGGGCTCTCCCTCACAGAAGATCTCGGTATCAGGTGCAACAACGCAGTATTCACCAGGGTCTGTCTCTATGACCTTGAACTCAACACTTCTCATTCCACCCCTGACTAAGAACAGGTCACCCTTCCTAACGGGTCGATATGCTTCCAAGAAATAAGCTAACAAAAAAGGGACAATAAATCAGAATCAGATCCCAATCATATCGATAATTAATAATCAATGGAAAATAATAAAACAGAACCCCTCACGTTTCAAATATGCATCAAATAGGTTGCCAGCAACACCCTCGATTGTATCATCAACAGGGAGGATGTGAACCCGCTTTCCGTACTTCACATCTGGACACTGATGGACAGATACAACATCTCCAAGACGAACTCTGAGATTGGCTCGTACAATTTTATTCATTCTGATTTTTGGCTCTTCACATTGCTCATCGGAAAGAACAACGCACACTGTATCTCTGCGCTTCTTCCCCTGCATAATCATAAAAAGGATGCAAGTAAGATTAATCAACATTCTCATAGGTAAACAGACTTGTTTGCCAAAACATGCATGAAAATCACCTTCAATAAAATAGTATCTCTTCTAAAGAACTGCAGCTTTTCCATGGTAGCAGGATGCAAAGAAACCACAGAGTTATCATCATTGATACCCTCATCGACAACTAAACGATTTGGAGACTTCTTGCGTTCCAAAATTGCAGTGGAAAAATCCCGTTTAGTGTTTTGCCTATTTTCACACAAAAAATTACTTAACTACTCCTCATAGAAATGAAAGATCGTCGCTGCAAAATGGATTTTCGTTTCGGGCTCAGAGGGCTCGACCACAAAAACCCGCAATATCTAGCTCAGAGTAATTCGAACTTTCTGTCGTTAAAACTGCTGTTAAAAGAAATTCCAACTCCATTCCTAAACTTCTCCCCAATCCGCAAATGATTTGTAAACTTGATTGATTGACCAGTAAAAATGGGTCAATTAAGTCAAAATTTACATAAAATTGTTGATTATATGATACATAAAACTTTCAAATTCAACAAAATTCCTGAATGATATAAGCTTCATCATCTCTGTTACCTAAATTCAATACAGTTTTTGCAGAAATCTTCTCCAACCAATCTATACCATAAGTTATAAAAAGAATTGTAGAGTAACTAAAACTGCATGAACAATAGTTTCTGAACTACACGTATCTCCAACTCCTCCCTTATCTTACTTCATCATATATCTAGCTGTTTGAAACCAAGGGAAATTCATAGGTAATTCTTCGCCTGAACAAGAACAATCACGATAATAAACAAAAACTTACTGGTCCGATGAAGAATGAGAGGATGCATGAGCCTTATCTGAAGCTGATGAACCTGTTGGGTCTGCCATTTATTTCGGCCTTTTGTTCTTGAAAACCACCAGGGTTTCTGCAACCTTTCAGACAATCGGTGCAAATGCAGAAGGAAGATGCAAAGAATTAAAAAATAGACCGCACTGTTGTAGAGAAGACGGACAACCGAGATAGCCCGTTTCTATACAATGGCCGACTCCAATCAGTTCTCTCCACCTATACATGAAACTAATGGCGGGTCGCCATGGAAGCACCGTTATCGGTGATGTAGGCGCCATTTTTCAGTAGTAGGTGACATCTAGAAGGTTTGGTTTGATGAATTGCGATTTTATACTGCTTGGATTCGCCATTGAATCTGGGCCTGGCCCAGCTCAAACCAGCCCAACTTCACTGCTGAAGAAAGACGAAAGCGCAGGCATTGATTTTTAATTCCAGACGAACCTGAACATTTTGCATTAATTATGACAAAATTAGTTTAAAATAAAATAAAACTAAATGGATCAATATCATACACAGCTGATTATCAAGCTAGTTGTTGGTAAAACAATGAAGTCCATCTGCAAGGCAATTGAGAAGTGAGAAATCAGAAATTAGAGTGAATATTAGGATATAGTGTCTTTTTTTTTAATTTTTTTTAGCACCGCCAGCAGATATTGTTTTCTTTGAACTTTCCGTTTCGGCCTTCACCTTAATATTTTGAAACGAGTCTGACTCTTATAAGGAATACTTTATTCCTCTCTCCAACAATGTGAGATTTTACAATTCACTTTCCTTGGGGGCCAACATCCTTACTAGCTCACGTCTAGCTCTGATATCATTTGTAACCGCTCAAATTCACTACTAGCCAATATTATTCTTTTGAGACTTTCCTTTTCGAACTTTCTCTTAAAAATTTTAAAACGCATCTAACCTTATAAAGAATGCTTAGTTTCTCCGCCAATATTAGAGAAAAGGAGGGAAAACGTGGTAGGACTTGGAAGTGACTTTCACTTTCATAGCGATCTTTTATGGGCCATTGCTTTTTTCCTGATCCGTCCCGTAAAAGTGTGCTTTCCTTTTCTTTTGTTGCTAAAGCAAACTGTATTATTGCATGCCTTTTCAGTTCAGGCCACCACACACGGGATTTACGGGCATCTCCTTTTTTCTAGTCGGGATATAGTTGTTGTCGTTCTATTTAATTGTCGTGGTGGTGTGTCGTTAGCCTACTTGTTTAGACGAAGGTAACCCGTCAACCTCATTCCAAAAACAAAATATTTATCGAGAAAACGATATTAGGTGAGTGATTAACTCGAGAGGAAGTTATTTGGATTATTATGTTAAATGTTGATGGTAAGATTTGTCTTATATATTTGTTTAGAAATCTAGAAAATTGGACCCCTTCACCTCATAATTTTGAATACATCCTATTATCTCCAAATTTTACAATATCCCAAAAATAAATAAATAAAAAGAAAATTATGTTGTATGCCATTTTGATGTGGTCATGGACAGTGTACATTTCTACCAGGACCTCCATAGTAAAAGTAAGTGCCCCAAAGCTTGTTTTTTCCTTGTCTAATGTCATAGCAATTTGGATGATCAGCCAAGAGACGAAGGTTCGAGGCAGGAAGTAAACTGTTGTCCCAATCAATTATTTGCAGATTTCTGAAATAAGAAGCTTTTCCATATCCTTCTTCTGCAAAATGCCCACTTCCCATCTGCGTCGATGTGTGGAAACCTGTTGATCTTGTGTTTACTACTTCTCCTCCAAATTGGATCATGCTGGCGTGGCTTCCCAAGTGACTGAACAAATATGCTGGCCAGTACCCTACTAACACACCCTGCCCAAACTCCAGCCACCAATTTCCGTGCCTCGGATCCTGCATCGAGAATCCATCGGTCAAAACCCAAGAACGAGACTTGATAAGTGATAGTTCATAAACCTCGATATCTTCGAAGTTGCAGGTCTTTTATGAAATTAGTCGAGATGTGCACAAATGATAAAAGTAGAGAGGATAGTAGTCTCCTGATATGGAGCCTACAATGACTACTTAGACAAAGAAAATCTTGAAAATAATTGAATCTTTTGACTGCATAAAAGCAAATAGTGGATTCCCAAAGAATCAGTCGATTTGAGGAAAAATCTCCGAACCAAGTGAGTTGAAGGTTAAGTGTAATAACTCAAGTCTAATGTTAACAGATATGTCTTGTTTTACTCATTATGTATCGCCGTCAGTCTCACGGTTTTAAAACACGTCTATTAGAGAGAGGTTTTCATACCTTTACAAGTAATGTTTCGTTTTCCTCTCCAACCGATTTGGGATCTCACGATCCTTCTCCTTTAGTAGCTCAACATCCTTGCTAGCACACCACTCCGTGTCTAGCTTTGATATCATTTGTAATAGTCTAAATACACATCTAGTAGATATTGTTCGTTTTAGTTCGTTACATATTGCCGTCAGCCTCACGGTTTTAAAATATATCTACTAGAGAGGTTTTCACACCTTTATAAAAAATGTTTCGTTCCTCTCTCTCCAACTGACGTGGAATGTCACCCGTAATCAAATCATCACATGGGTATAGGAAGAAATAGAGTCCTATCCATGGCAAGAGAGAAATGGTTGCTAATGAATGATTAGGTTAAAAAGGGTTACTTTTTGTTGAAGCAAAGGTGAAAATTAGGTGTTCTATTCATTCAGCGACGGATCTCTCTCTCTTTCAACATACCATATTTTGTCCTTCTTTGGGTTGGATTTCATTGGATATTGAAGAACACTCACCTTCCAAATCATTAAACCCATATCAAATTGTCTGCCATTGTAATAAGATCTTGGAAATATTGCAGCTCCAATGGCAATCTTGTTATTAGTTTGGACAAAACCAGAGCACAGTAAGTTGTAGCAGCCTGTTTCTCGGTATGCATCTGTCTGAAAAACCACAAGCGACACACAGAGAAACAAGGTCAGAAAGAAGCCAGAAACTTGTTTCAAATTTGCCTTGAAGAATACTTCAAAACACAGTAAAATAAAACTCACCGTCCAGTAAGTGAAGAATCTAGGATAATTATCTCCATATAACTCGGGGCTAACCTGAATAAGTCATTTTTTCAACATGAACAGATGAAAATGAAGAAACAAAATGCAAAAGAATTAGAGAAAAACATGCCTGCCAACCAGCTTCAATGGTGTTCAGATCATTGTTGAATGTCCCAGAAATAAGCCAGATTTGAGACAAGCTGAACTCATACTCATCGCTCACATGGGGTGCCCAGACATTTATGTTTGCTTTTGCTCCATAGTATTGCTCTCCATTAACAAACACAATAGCATGCTGGAACATATTGAAAGTAAAATCATCTGAAAATTAAAGAAGAACAAGAACAAGAGGAAAATATGAACCTCATGGCCACTGCCTGATGAGTTCCTTCTCACAGATTTTAATGGCTTTTTCCCAAATCTTTGGACAGAGCTTGCTCTTAAAATGTCTTGTTCTGTAGTTCTTCTAATAGGAATAGTTCCTTCAGGGCATGATTCACCACTCTGCCGCCATAGCTGGAAGCTCGCTGCAAGTGAATTGGCTGAGGAGTTGTAACCTTTTGGCCTATCTGGGGGATCCTGAAAATTGAAATGTAATTCGTTTTTCTCTCTGTTTCTAATGTGTATATTCCATATTGTTTACAGTAAATGCAAGTTACCAGTGGCAGTTGCTGTTTAAGTTTATAATGATCAAAAGCAGGTTGAAGATGAGAAAGAACACAATCGATTAAATCTCCATCTGGGCTCTGAAAATGAACAAAAAAAAAAAAAAAAAAAAAAAAAATTACCCCTTGAGAAACCAAAAGAAACAGAGGAAAAAGAAATGAAACCATGCCTGAATTGTCTTGACGGAGGGTTTATTGATGTTCTTCACGTGAGCTTCAACGCCGCTCAATTTCTGGAACTCTGCTGCTGCGGGTCTGAAATCTTCCGCCGCAATGGGCGGTGCCAGCAGAACTGAGGAGGTCGAACCTATGAGAAACAGAGCAACAAAAGCCGCTAATAACATCGAGAGGAATGTTTTGGAGTGTCGTTTTGGTAGAGAAACACGTGTGTTTGCACGTATTGGGGTTGTCGTATTAGAGCAAAGAAGAAAAGAAAAGGTTTACAGAGCTTCTAAACACTTGGCTTCTTCCTTATTTGCTTCCATTTCTCTGCACGTCCTTACAAAACAGAACGATCCATTCTCCTCAGAAACAAAAACCCACATNAAAAAAAAAAAAAAAAAAAAAAAAAAAAAAAAAAAAAAAAAAAAAAAAAAAAAAAATTACCCCTTGAGAAACCAAAAGAAACAGAGGAAAAAGAAATGAAACCATGCCTGAATTGTCTTGACGGAGGGTTTATTGATGTTCTTCACGTGAGCTTCAACGCCGCTCAATTTCTGGAACTCTGCTGCTGCGGGTCTGAAATCTTCCGCCGCAATGGGCGGTGCCAGCAGAACTGAGGAGGTCGAACCTATGAGAAACAGAGCAACAAAAGCCGCTAATAACATCGAGAGGAATGTTTTGGAGTGTCGTTTTGGTAGAGAAACACGTGTGTTTGCACGTATTGGGGTTGTCGTATTAGAGCAAAGAAGAAAAGAAAAGGTTTACAGAGCTTCTAAACACTTGGCTTCTTCCTTATTTGCTTCCATTTCTCTGCACGTCCTTACAAAACAGAACGATCCATTCTCCTCAGAAACAAAAACCCACATGAATTTCTTAACCCAACACCCCATTTTCTTCAAGAAAAGCTTCTTAGCTTCGTTAATGGCGGACCCAGATGGCTGGGGATGTGGATTTAATGAATAGAAAACTGGAGGGAGCGAAGAAGAAATGGGCATTCGAAGATGGATGAAATGGACGAGACAAACATGGCCTGAATCGTTTGCTAATGTTCTATTATTTCACCTGCAAGAACTGGTTCCTCTGTGATACAGTTGGTTGCAGTACACTTTGTTTTTCCTTTTTTATCTGAAAGCACCACAAATTTCTTTCTCCTCCCGACCATACACACATTTTCCAATTAATCAACTCATCCCACCCAAATTCTGCCTTTTATGGTAACTATATTATAAATTTCTCAGTTGAGTTTATTTATTTAGTTGGAATATTTTATTTTAGTGTATATTTTCATATCTATTTTTTCAAATCTGCTAAATTAATAAATAAATAAAAACATATGTATCGAAAAATACCTTTTAGCACTCTTAAACTAAAAAAAAAAAAATTGAAAATTATTTTTAACTTAGTTAACAATTTATTTAAAAAATACCCTTAAATTTTATGAGTTTCATTAATACCAATTTTTTTTTTAAATACTTTTGTCATGAGTACCTCGTTTCAAAATATTTTTTTTTAACTGTTATTTAAAAAATGAAATGTGTAATCTAATTAAATGGGAATTTTAAAGCCTAATCTAATTAAATTGGAAAATCAAATGTTTATTTATAAAACAAAATGAAAGTTAAATATAAAAAACTGATTCGGGCCCATTAATATTTGGGTTATGGGCCGATATTGTGGGCTCAAGTATTATAGACCGATTTTGCAGCGAAAAAAGATTATGGTACAGAGGTGGTCAGAAGCTTATTTAGCTTTATTTTACACAAAATTAAAATTCGTACATAAAATTAAAATTACCTCTCACCTGCAACACATACAATACATAAATGTTACAATATTAGTACCACATTTTTATTTTTTTTTTGTCGTAGTTTAAAAAAATGTATACAACACATATATTACGCATAGAAATAATTATCCAAATATGTTTGGATGTAACACATATTTATAAACAAGAGACTAGACTATGGAATATATAAAGGAGGTTCCAAAACACACATATTAACCAAATTTTTTGTAATCTCATATGTGAATTTTAATTAATTATTTGTTTAGAGAATTAAAAATAAAACATCGAATTAATTGTTGATGAATCTCCCAAGAGTTCAATAAAAGCCTGCGATCTCATCGCTACTTTTACTTTCCCCCTGGTTGAAAAATGGCGGCACGTCTCAGCCTCACTCTACGCCATCCGTTTCTCCCCGCCAGTTATCCAATTCCAGCCAGGGCTACTCAATTCCGCAGATTCGCAGTTCAGAACTGCGTCTCCGACTCATATGATTCGCGCAAGGTACTAAGCTTCCACTCCATTGTCTACCAACTAATTCTAGTTCCCGTAAGGTGTTATTGGCTGCCGAGAGAGAGTTATTTTTCGCGAGAATGCGATGTTTGAGTTCGAAGTAGGTCTAAGAACTTATTTATGTTTATATGTCTGTAATTTGATGAAATTTGTCTCGGAAGAGGAGAAGTGTGTTTAATTTCTGTCAATCGAACAGTATGCAGCCATTATCCTATACAAGGTTTTTGCACATTTTTACGGGTAGTTATCCGAAGATTGAGTGGCTTTATATGTATATATTTATATGATGATGAACTGTATAGCTTATGGTTCTCGATTTCAAGTGTTGCAGCTCGTCTTGGAAGTGAAGGAGAAACTCGAAAGGGAATATAATAGTCTTCCTCTTGGTCGGAATGGAAGGGACGATGAAGAGATGATACTCTGGTTTCTGAAGGATCGAAAGTTTTCCGTTGATGATGCGGTTGCAAAATTAACGAAAGCAATTGTATACACTTGAACTCCCCCTTTTTTTTTTTCTTTTCAAAACAGCATGTCTCTTGTTCATGTGGTGTTGCAAATATTTACTTGGTTTATATTGAAATTCAAGTTAATGTGGGAACTGATAGTGTTCATTACATAATTTTATACATTTATTAACTTTCCCCCTTCTGTCTCAAACAGAATTGGCGTCAGGAATTTGGCGTAGATGAACTGTCTGAAGATTCAGTTAAAGGAATGGCTGAAACTGGGAAAGCATTTGTCCATGAGTTTCTTGATGTCAATGGCAGGCCAGTACTCATAGTTGTGGCTGCCAAGCATTTACCTGCAGTAAGTTTCATGGTCACCCTTTGATATTTGACCAATTTTCTTTCCCTGAGTTACCCAATTCCGTCGTTATCCATAGGTCACTTGTAGTACAATTGTCTTCCTTTATAACGAAAGTTTAATCTGTCATTGCAACTTGAAAGCTTGTGCTTAGTAACGTATATCTATCGATGAATTAATGACAAACCTACTGCCATTTGCAGTACAATTGTCTTCCTTGTAATTGAATATTTATCCTCTGTCATTGTAAAACTGAAAGCTCGTTATAACTTGTAACTGTCCATGAATTGACGATGCACCTACTCCTCCATGAATGGTAAAGTTTGACCTTATGACGTGCATTTGGCGTCTATCCTTCCTCTAATCTCATTTGAATTACTCTCTTAACAGTAATGTTGACTTTACTAGCAACTTGACCGCAGGTCCATGACCCTCTTGAGGATGAGAAACTCTGTGTGTTCTATGTAGAGAAGGCACTGAGCAAGCTTCCAACTGGAAAAGAAGACATCCTTGGAATAATTGATCTGCGAGGTTTTCGTACTGAGAATGCAGATCTTAGGTTCTTGACGTTTTTGGTAATTTTACAAGTTGAGATTTATCACAATCGATACATATTGGCAAGTTTATGATGAGATTCATATCTTAACCACTTGACTCTAGCAGAAATATATGATCTGTACAAATTTTACATTTCTTTAGCATCACAAGCTTTTTGCTCACTTCATGAGGAAGCAGTCATTTCTAAAATAGTTGTCTATGTCAATTATAGATCTCAGTCATTTCTAGTAACTTATTCTTCGCCTAAAAAATGAAATTCCCTTTCCTCCTTACTCCTTTCCTTTGCTCTCCCGAGGGCTCTACAGTCGCTATGTTTCAGGTCTGTGGTGGGGTCAAGAGATTTTTGCCTTTTGATGGCTCCTTTGTCATTTGTCAATTATTCTTTCTGATCTATTTATGCTCTTTTCCCTGGCAGTTTGATGTCTTCTACTTCTACTATCCGAAACGACTTGGTCAAGTCCTCTTTGTGGAAGCTCCATCTGTGTTCAGACCACTATGGCAACTTACTAAGCCATTATTAAAATCCTATGCATCTCTGGTAAGCGCTTTGCTTTTTAACTGAAAATTCATGCGTCCTTAGTTTTAGACCATTAATCTAGATTGATGAATATATTTGACACAAAGTGGATTGGCTAATCTCACTGCCAATTCAAATCGTGGATTCCTTCACTTGCATCCATGTATGGAGTTGGCTTTTCTTCTTCTGATTATCAATGAAGTAATCTTGCATTTTCAATTTCACTCATTTTGGTCAGCAACCCCATACATCCTGAAGATGTTCCACCATTTTAGTATCTTTTTGACGTATATCAACTCAATTCACATAAGAACTTGGTCACTTAAATATTTTTGGGCTTTTTGGAATTATTGCTGTGTCTAAGCCCTTCCCTACCTCCTAAATTTGCTCGAGTATTTGTAATTTTTTTTGTATGTTTTCTCTTTTGAAGGCGAGATTTTGTTCCATAGATACAATCAGGAAGGAATACTTTACTGAAGATACACTGCCTGCCATCTTTAAAGACTGAGGAATTTTGGCACTCTCGACAAACAGGTCCAAATTAGGTAGAATTAAGACAAAAAAACTTAGAATATTATAAAATTCCATCTGTTCTTATTTTTGGGGAAAAAAGAAGAAGATTATTTCAAGAACATTTGATATTCACTTTGCTAGTTGTTGGGGCTACTTTTCTCCAGAGATGAAGGTCAGTGTTAGCATAAGCCCATGCAACACATAAGTTTCTGTGTTCAATATCATTTCTTCATGATTTTCAGAAACCTGACTAAAAAACAGAATTGTGGATTGGTACCTAAGTTGGAATGGAGCTTCTTGATTGATAACAGGAATTCTGCATATCCAGGTTCACTGCTTGCGGTTTCTGCAATAATATTTCATACAAATGAAAAGGGGTAGAATTCAACTTTTCTCCCCTCAACTTGTATGTTCTGATTGGATACACGATGAGGGATTCCGAGATTTTCGAGTACTGGTTCAAACTTGGCGTGTGGAGGTAAGTGATTCCACCTCAAAGAAGTTTTAACACATGATTTTTAAATTTTGTATCATGTTAAATTGTCAGTACATGTACTTAAACTTCTATAATGTTATAAACATGTTATTTTGCATAAGAAAGGATTCTCATTTGCTTTCTCCCTCCATCCTTCTCGTATGTTTTGTAAAGATATTATTTGGCTTTCCTCTGCAAGGCATTCAGCTATAGTAATAGAACCCAAAAGCTATAATCCTGAAGTGATAGCCACTTGAGTAAGCAAACACCATTATGAAAATATACTCTCCAGCTTCCACCTTTGCTTGTTTTTATTCTTAAAGAGTAAAAATGTGTAAATCTTTAATCCAACGATTTTCTACTTGAATCTTCATAAAGCGTGACTGCTAGCCGTAGACAAGGACGTTGAATAGTCTCTGTTTTGTTAGTTCCTACTTGAGCTGTATACAATCACGGGATGGTGTGGTTGTTCTCTGATATAACGTGATTTTGGATTATAATTAGAAGTGTCAGTTTGGATACAACTAGTAAGCTTGCGTAGTTCCAAGTTGTGAAGTAATGGATTTTTCTCACTCGGTAGGTTTCTAGATATAATATTTTAACCAATTAAACTGTATTTAGACTAATTGAATATAAATTTTTTGAACCATATTATATTGACATATCTATCAATATGAACTTAAATTAGATTAATGGAACGAGAATTGGTCCACCCAGTAAGAAGAGGAAGAGAGGCTTGGGTCAAACCCGAAGTCCATGGTCGACCATTTGTGAGGCTTGAGCTCACTGCCTCCTTGGCTTGTCCGATTTCGATCCAACACCAATTAGATTATCTTTTACACTAACTCTAAAGGAAATTAGAAAACTCTAATTGAAAGGTATAAACACATAAAAGATTCTTGTCTATGTTGGGACGGCCACTTAAGAAGTAATTTATATTAATTTTCGATGTAAGAGCTACACTATTTTTTTTTTTTTTTTTTTTGAAGTTAGCTTTATTCAATTCATTGCATGTCTTTTCTTCTCTGCCTTCATTGACCTTTTTTTGGTTAAGAACTATTATAATTCTTTCTAGCGTATTCTAGCGTTCTAAAGCTAGGTTGTGCATGTATGGAATCTCACGAGTACTTGGATTAAACAAAAAGAAAAAATAATAAATTGAAAGAATGTTGAAAACATTTTAAATTTAAACTATGGCCACACAAGTAAAAGAAATAAATAAGGAATCTTACAGTAAAATTAGCTTTATGAAATAATATAAAATAAAAAGAAAAAGAAACTATTGGAGTGATTTTTAAACCATTTTTAGTCTCGTATTTTGTAACTTAATTATATTTTGTATAAATCTAGTTACTTTTGAAATTATTATTTGTCTCGGATTTGTTAAAATACAAGACGAGGAGGCTAATAAAGATTAAATTTATTTTGAAAAAGTTAATAATAAAACTGAATAAACAAAATTTAATTTGTAAATTTATTGGAAGTATACCAATTAAATCTAGACCATATACGGAATAAAATATAAGGAATGATAAAAATCATATTTTAATTCAGAAACTATATTAAAATTAATTTTATAGCGAATCAACAAAATAGGAGGGTATTTAATTTAATTAATTTATTTATTTTGCAGACTCTAACATCTCATGACTTATTAATATCTATATTATCAATTTATCACGGGCAAAGGCAAAACAAAAACAACTCGTCGTCCATTCTCGGACTCCTCCTCTGCTGTCTACCCTTTCCGCCCGTCATTCCATATATTTTTGCTCCGATCGGTCCGTCACTCTCGAGTTCGCGCTTTTCATTTGCCTAGATCTCCTTGCCGGAACCCCCCATCGCGATCTCCGACCGATTCTGAGGTTCCGTTTGCTTATTGTCTTCCCCGTTTCCATAATCCGTTTGTTTTTCTGAAATATCGACCAGCTACTTCCGCCCCATTTCTTCTCTAGGTTTTGTACGGAGCATCTGAAGCCTGTTTTATCTCAGTTAAGTCGTTCTCCGCTAATTTCACCTTCGAATCGTCTAGCAATTTTCGCGTGTTTGATTTTTGGGAAAAGGGAAAACTAGTTGGAAAAGAAAAACGGATGAAGTATGGATGATAACGGAAATTTGCTCCTTGTATGTTTGGCTACTTTTCTTTTCCAGAGTTCTAATTATGTTTAATCAGTTAGCAAAGTACCTGCGGCACCAGGGGTTTACATAAGTTATTTAAAGGGTCGGAGCCGGACTAGTCTGGTTTATAATACTATGTTATATTTTCCGTATTTATCTGTTAAATTTCTCTCCGTCGAAGCCGTAATTACATTTTTTTTCCATTGCGGCATGACTTCGTCGGATTATAGAGCATATTTGAATCGGGACAGTGAGAGGTTTTGAACCGTGGTCAGTAGAGCAATGGGTTGGACTGATTGATTTCTCTGGGAATCGAAACGTTGAAGTTTTAGATCGTCTTTTGCAACAAGGAACATAAATTTGATGCAAGAGAATCTTCCCTATTTTTGTGACTTGGGGAATAAGATTTTTGTCAATATAGAGCTTAGAGCAAATGCTTGATTGTGAAGAATAGGTCGGTTGCCCTATTTTTCATTTTGATCGCACCCATTGTGTGTGTGTGTGTGTGTGTGTGAGAGAGAGAGAGAGAGAGAGAGAGAGAGAGAGATAACAACGATGTTGCACAGCTTGAGCCAGTAGAATGCAGCAGATAATTTTCGGATTGTTTTTCTGTTGCTGTGAATCGAAAAGAAGATTTGTTTAGTGAGGGAAAGTCCTGTAAGCTAAATCTCCTATGCATCGATCTTGGATGCCCAAATTCAATTGAGCAGAAACTGATTAATTAGTTTGGAAATGTTTATTCAATTCGGATAGTGTTTGAGACTTCAGTGTATATTTAAAGGTTACGACCAAGATGAAAGGATTGGTTTCCTGAATGTGTAATTTGACCGCACTGATTACCAATTTAATTATGTTGCGTATAGTGGATCCTAAAAAGGACTATTAACCCATGATGGCTTTCCATCTTAAGGTGGTTCAAAATCTGATTGGAACTCTGTTATTGTGTTTATTTTGGCTAGCTTATTGATCTCATTAATTTTGTAAGGTTTTATTGGTGAATCTGGATGATAAAAATATGCACGTAAATTTCCTTCACATTTCCTATAGTTGATGCTCGTGATTACTAGTGAATGTATTGATGGAATTTTTCCTCAGGTTGTATTAATTTCGGTTGAATGACCTTGCTGCAACTGTTCAATCATGACGTCAAGTATGTTGACTGGAGAAAGGAGGTAATTCGTTACTTTCCTGCTGTATTACTGCTACTTGCAATGTTGGTATTTAATTAATTTGGATCCATTGAATTTTTTGTTTTCATTCATTATTTTTGATCTGATGTGCAACCATCACATGCATTTAGTAATTAGATTCTGCTTGGGCGAGAAACGGCTTTAAGCACGGATGATGGATGAAGGTCTTCTGGAAATCCCTTGAACTACCCGCTGACACTTGTTGGATGATGAAAGTCCCACATCGCCTAATTTAGGGAATGATCATGGGTTTATAAGTGAGGAATACTAACTCCATTGGAATGAGGCCTTTTGGGGAAGCCCAAAGCAAAGCCATGAGAGCTTACGCTCAAAGTGGACAATATCATACCATTGTGGAGAGTCGTGTTCGTCTAACATGGTATCAGAGCCATGCCCTAAACTTAGCCGTGTCAATAGATTGACAAATCCTTAAATGTCGAACAAAGGACTCTAAAAGGAGTCAAGCCTCCTCGAAGGTACGAAGGCAGTCAAAAATGACTAAGACTCCAAAGGAGTCGAGCCTCGATTAAGGGGAGGCGTGCTTTGTTCGAGGGGAGGTGTTGGATGATGAAAGTCTCACATCGGTTAATTTAGGGAATGATCATGGGTTTATAATCTAAGAATACACTCTCCATTGGTATGAGGCCTTTTGGGAAGCCCAAAGCAAAGCCATGAGAGCTTATGCTCAAAGTGGACAATATCATACCATTGTGGAGAGTCGTGTTCGTCTAACATGTTGGATGATGAAAGTCTCACATCGGTTAATTTAGGGAATGATCATGGGTTTATAATCTAAGAATACACTCTCCATTGGTATGAGGCCTTTTGGGAAGCCCAAAGCAAAGCCATGAGAGCTTATGCTCAAAGTGGACAATATCATACCATTGTGGAGAGTCGTGTTCGTCTAACATGGTATCAGAGCCATGCCCTAAACTTAGCCGTGTCAATAGATTGGCAAATCCTCGAATGTCGAACAAAGGACTCCAAAAAGAAAAAAGGAGTCAAGCCTCCTCGAAGGTACGAAGGCAGTCAAAAATGACTAAGACTCCAAAAAGGAGTCGAGCCTCGATTAAGGGGAGGCGTGCTTTGTTCGAGGGGAGGTGTTGGATGATGAAAGTCCCACATCGCCTAATTTAGGGAATGATCATGGGTTTATAAGTGAGGAATACTAACTCCATTGGAATGAGGCCTTTTGGAAAGCCCAAAGCAAAGCCATGAGAGCTTATGCTCAAAGTGGACAATATCATACCATTGTGGAGAGTCGTGTTCGTCTAACAACACTGTTTGCTGGAACTTATATAAATGCCTTGAATAATATGTAATTACAGAACCGAACGTTTTTCCCCTTTCCACAATTCTTGAGATTTTCTTTTACACTGGATGACTTGCAGTGAGAGATTGGATTCACTTATTCATAAACAAAATAGGAGACTTGCAAGGCTTGTTGAAATGTTATACATGCACACATGTATGTTGGAGACTGTCGAGGGAAGGGATGGCTAGGGGTAGAACCCTGTCAATGCTAGGGGAGCTACAAGAAGGTTTTCCACCCAGCCAAAAGAAATAAATAGTGGGGTTCACAAATTTTGTTGTTGTGAAGAGCTCAAACAGAGGCATAAAACCTAACTTGATCCATCCCCCTTCAACATCGCTACATCCCTGACAATACTATGACTCTCTTAAAGAATAGTGTAAATAGCCTACCACCTAGTAATTATAACCTATCTCTAGCAAGAAAGGAAAAAGTGGTTTGATCAAGGAACTCTTCATGTTATTTAGTGTGTCAATGGTGTCTGAAAAAACCTANCTTTAAATCCTTGTGTCTTTTTTTTTTTTTTTTTTT